GTAACATCCTTTTTTTTATTTTTTTTTAATAATAAATTTAATATGTGTTTCACAAATAAAATTTTTATATGCAAAATTTAATTTGGAAAACTTTTACTTAATGTACTTAAGACAGTTTCATAGACAAAATTTAAGTTATAAGCAGTTTCTTGAAATTTTTTTGTCTTAGTTACACGACTGATCTTTTGTTTTTGTTTACATTACGCCTAATCTTAAATTTTAATTGGATAAAATTGGGGTTGTTACAAATAAGATGCGTAACAGGATGTTACAATTAGATTTATCTTTATTTTTATTGTTTGAAAATATCTATTATGATACCATCTTTTAAGGTTGCCTGTCTAAACCTTTCCAAAATTCTACAATTAGTTTCTCCAAAATTTTACTATAGTTTTATTATAGTTTCAGCCAATTTTGGCATTTATAATAAGTTTCATCAGGTTTCGCTTTTCTCCAGAGTTTTGCCAACTTTTTAATAAAACTTTTATATAGTTTTGGCAAAGTTTCAGCATTTCAGCATTTTGCCAACTTGCCAAAACCCCCTAGTTTCTCCAGCAAACTTACCATCTTTTATATGATATTTTTATTATACTTTTATAAACATTTATAGCTACTAAGACTATATAAATTTTTATTTTACTTTATATTTTATTAAAATATACTTACTTTTTAATAAGGGTTTAAAATTTGTGCGCACCTACGCATGTGCGCATCCCATAGATATATTATATATAAAAGTCAAAAATGACATTCTAAACCCTTCATGGCTCATTAAATAAAGTTGTTGAATAGGCAAAAATGCGCATAGTAAATAAATTATTAAGGCTCTATAATATGTACGTAAGAGTTGCAGTGAGATTCCCCTATTCCCTCTGTCATCAATTTACAGAGTTGCCACATCAAATAAGCATTCTCATGGTCGAACGAACGAATAAACAAATGAACGAACAATAAAACAAGCAAATAATCAACAAACAACATACAACAACATATAACAACGACATGCAACAACATATAACAACAATATACAACAATAACATTCTTGGTTTACAACATAAATAGCGTTAGTAATATAAAACATCAAGCGATATAAAATTAAATTTAACTTCTCTAAATTTTCCTCAATTTTTATTCACTTTACCTTTAATTTCAAACTTCAATAGCTCTCGCTACAAAATATTTTATTTATTTTAACTTCAAAATTTTGATAATTCTCATTGCAAAAGTGTATCTATTTAATTCATCTCATAATTATCATTTTATTCAATTAAAATTAATTAAGCGAACATTAATTAAAGTTTAGGGCGAACCTATTACCTTTAATTAATATTATACTTTATTAAAAATAATTAAATTGAGTTTCTCTGAACTTCCTAAATTACATTGTGGATGAGATATATGGAATTACTTTGAATTCTGCTCTCTATTTATACAAACTTCTTTATATTTTCTATTCTAATATATACTATCTTTTACGTTCTTTTTTATATGTTATCTTTCTAATATGTTATCTTTTTAATATACTATTTTTAATATGCTATCTTTTGATATACTATCTTTTAATATGCTATGCTATCTTTTAATATACCATTTTTTAATATGCTATCTTTTAATATGTTATCTTTTTAATATACTATCTTTCTATTTTTAATATATTATATGCTATCTTTTATGTTCCATCTTTTTAATATATTATCTTTCTATTTTTAATATGTTATATTCCATCTTTTGTGGCTTATATCTTTTCGTATTATCTTTTTATATTATCTTTTTTATTATCTTTTTATATTATCTTTTATATTATCTTTTATATTATCTTTTCATATTATCTTTTATATTATCTTTTATATTATCTTTTATATTGTTGTTTTATGTATTTTTATCATACGTGTTCCCTTAATCCGCTATCCTTCCATTTTATATGTTTTCCTTATAATTTATCTTTTGTGACTTATAATTATTTCTTCTAATTGTTTTTATTGTTAAACTCAATAAACTAGTTGCTAAGCCACAATTGATCGACTCCTTACTTAATCTATTGGTTCCTTATTAATCATTCAATAAATATTATATCATGTAGATCATTCCTTTTCCTAAATGTTTATCCTTTTCGGCTAATCATTTATCCATTCACGCTGATTTAAGATTAGTTCGTTCGTACTTAGTATTTGATGTTCACATTTGTCCCTTTGGTATATTATTTGTTCACGCTTAATATTCGACTATTTACAGCGGCATGAATATTTAAAAAATCAGGATTTTACTAAAGTCACATGATAAATAATGATCGACAAATTTACTATATAAAAATTACCAAAAATGGGGTCGTCTAAAGCGGGGGCAAATCACGTGATATGATTTCGGGATTAGCCGGAAGTATCACGTGATTTCTCGGAAAATAACAAACGATTATTGAACAAAAAAATACGTACTAACGAAGTAAAAAATATTAAAAATATCAATAAATCAGTAAATCAGTAAAAAAATTATAAAATTATAAGGTTTCATAAACAAAAAAAAAAAATTAATAAAACCCGCCCATATTTATTGTTTTATTTAAATTTAAAAATTTTAAATGTAATTTTTTTTTAATATTTACATATTAAAATTCAAAATAATTTTAATTGAGGCCAAGCCTATACAATTTTAATATAACCTGAATACTAAATGTTAATATATAATTCTACGTTTTTTCGTTTGAATTATTATCAAAACGTGAGATAATCGGATTCACAGTAGCTTCTAACATAGAAATGAAAGATTGCGTCCTCTCGGCATCGCCTGTCTCTTCAACACGCCAATACCTGTCACGCATTCTTTCGGTTAATTCACCCACAGCAATTCTTCGATCTTCAGCTCTTTTCTGTTGCTCCGTTTGAACATATTCTATAAACGACTCTCGACTTTCATACACTTCAAATCCGCTTTCTTCAAAAATTTCACGAAACATTTGCCATACGTCGGAAGTCAACAACTTATTGCCTTATATGTGTTCGTTAAAAATGTGTTTACACTGTAATAAATATCGATGGCGAAACAAGCAGTGACAATCGAGAGAAGCCAGACCTGGAACACCTTTTCCTTTTTCAAGTCTATTCATCACAGCACAGGCCTCTTTAATGATTAATTGTTGAAACGAGAAGGGGAATTTTTTGATTTCTTCGAGAATATCATCGTCAACACCATATGCGGATATTTTCTTGATACGAAAATTAAAGGATGCAATTTCGGCTTCGGATCTTTTTTTGTAATCGATATTGACAATGTTGTGAACGGCACCTAAAATATAAAAAGTTTGAGTTGGCATGCGGGTGAAATAACAAAGAAAAATCGTTATGTACCAATCAAACCGTGTAATGAAGACGTTATTTTCTTTAATTCGCTATGAAAAGATTCTAACGAATTCGTTGATGTGACCTGTAAAAGCAGGGGGGAATGTTGACGAGCCCATAAGCCCCATTTCTCCGTATTTTTCGTATAATTTCTTTTAATGTAATTTTGTATATAAGGAACGGAACAATGATTAATAGCATCCTGAACAAGATTTTCACATCCAATCTTTGTTCTTTTATGCATCACCACGATCATGGTGTCTTGAGTTTTTTTTTCATTAATTTTTTGCATCCACGTTCTCATGACATGAACAACACAAAGGAGGACTTGGCACTCTTGTTCACCAGCATCTATGCCAGGAAATGTCTTTTTAATGCTCTTAGCTTCGATGTTACTATGATCCGCAAGTATGTAACGGGGACTAACGACAATACTTATTGCGGATTATTGTTAAAGCTTCTGCAACTGTATCTGCATCCTCATTGCTTACGAAAAAATGGGTGCCTACGTTCCAACATCCGAAAGTGTCACGAACGTAAAGAGTAAATAGACGCCAGTCGTACCGGTTGGTCTTATGTGTTGAATCTATAAGCGTCAACCATCCATGGCGTTCAAGTTTCTTTAGTTGCTCTAGGTGCACAAACACGGTACCTTTAGTAGATCGTTAGGAGACGCGGAAATTTTCAACAAGATACCCCTGTTCTGTTAAAAAAGAAACAGATTCCAAAATGTCTGATTTTAAGTTCGAATTCCCAATAAAACGGGTTTCCGTAGGCCCACGAATTTTGTATTTAATGTTCGTTACTTCTTTGCGCTTCAGCTCGCGCGCACATTCACCAAAATCTAATTCTAACGTCGCGTATTCTTTGACGGCAGATGTGATAGCTGGAGGAGGATAATTTTTGGCCGCTTCTATTTCAACTAAACTTCTAATGACTTTTGGCTGTTTCAGCCTATCGACTTCTGATAAAGAATGTGTATGGTTGGGGGAGTTTTTATATCGCTCTACTTGAACTACCTCTGAAGAAGCTATCCATAAAACTTTAATCATCGCAGAACATACGTCAGGTGGTCGTGTCTTGGTTATTCGGCGTTTTTTGTTTGAAACATTTTCTTTTTCTCGGGTACTTGATTCGCGGTGCTTCATAAAACGACAGGCAAAAGTTTTCCGAATATCACCGTTTACATATTCATACGAGTCCCATTTCGTCCAAATATTCGAAACTAACAGCCACCATTCGTCATTAAAAACCTCCATTGGGATTTCTAAAGTACGGTCTACATCAAAAAGAAGATCCCGCTTTTTGTTTGGTGTGAGATTTGATGTTGACGTTATAATTAAAGGAGCGGGAGCTGAAAACACAGGAGTAACAGTTAATGGAAAAAACATAATAAAGTGAAAAGTTTTTTTTACTTAGAAAATGAGTAAAATGCGCGATGTTGTAATGTTGATACCAATTAAACTAATAATCGTTTGTTATTTTCGAGAAATCACGGGAAACTTCCGGCTAATCCTGAAATCGTATCACGTGATTTGCCCCCGCTTTAGACGACCCCCTTTTTTGGATTGTGTAATGTTACCTAAAGCTCCAAAAAAAGGATATTTTGGCCAGCGTTATAAAATTTGGCCGAAATTAAGCACGTGATGTATAGGGAGTGACAAATAGTATTTTTTGCACTGAAAAAATTCTCTGTCCCCAGAATAAATAATAAAAATGGAAAACTAGAGGATGTGACGCGGGGTGACAAATTATTCACATATGTAAAGTCACGTGACACTTGCGACACATCGCATCTTCCCCAGCGTCGCCTCAAGATTTTTCACCCCACGTGACCTGCATAAAATGTCACCCCGCGTCACACCTCACCGTTTTCATTTTTTCATAAGTATTCTGGGGACAGAGAAAATTTTTAGTGGTGAAAAAAATTTTCTCACTCCCCCTTAAACATCACCGGTCACGTGTGGTGGAAATCTTGGGGCGATGCTGGGGTAAATGACACATCGCTATGGCGATTTTTTATAAAATCCTAAATAAAATAAGTATTATCTTATATATATATTGTTTATTAATTATCATTAGCTATATATCAAATGCTATACATCAAATCTTGTATTAATTACATATCACATTAGATTTTTTTAAGCCTTTTGGTATTTCCTGGTAGGTAGTGTAAATATTTCATAAACATATTTTCATTATATAAAATAACAATCTATTTTAATTAAATTAGTTTTTTTTTGTCTAATTATGATTTATATCTTATCACCTATCTGTAAATTGAAATAGTGTCAGTTGATACCTGACACACGTCTGTATCGCACAATAAAGTTTTCTATAGTAAACACTTTTTTATTACTGTAACGAGCTTCCTTTTATTCTACAAGTAAACTTACATATCACAATTAATTATACTTATTTTGATTTATGTAAAATTATAAAATTATACCTTAATGTTATGTGATAAGTAATGCGCGTCAGGTGTCAACCACATCTGATACATGTCAGTTATCAACCGACGCAAATTGACACGATGAGCCTGAGGCATAACATATATAAAAAAGATATTATTCTTTTATTATTGTTATTCATAAAATAAATCTATCTTAATGTCATGTAGTTAGTTCATAAACAGTATGAAGATAAAATTAAGATTAAATTGCCTTAACAGAATAGATTTATATTTTGAGATAAATTACAAAGTGATGGTCGGTACAGATGGCTTTAACAATAGAGTTTAGAATCGATTAAGGTTAATCGATTAAAATTATCCAAACCATAATTCTGGTCAAATTATCTAATGCGGCCCAGAGCTGTAAATTTTGGTCACGTGTTCTCTGAATTTGGACGAATTTGTATTAATTTTTTAATAATAATAATAAGCGGCCAAAAAAATAAAAAAGATTTAATGTTTTTAATATTAATCGATTATTAATCGATTAGGGCCCTTGGTTAATCGCCGGTTAAGGTTTTTTTGGTTCCTATAGAAAAATTTTTTTTTTGCCTCCGTCAAAAAAATACTTAATTTGTTTGGTATGTAACTTTAATGTGATACCCCCCCCTGTTGAGCACAACTCCAAAACCCTTTCAGAATATTCCAAAAGTGTTTAAAGCAAAAGTCAATAAAGACAATAGAAAAAATCATAGCATTCTACCTAAAAATAATCTCTCCTTTCAAAAACTTCCAAATTTTGCAATGTCATAAGGCCAGATCCGGAATGCCCACCATCTTGTGATTTATTCTACAAAGAAGGCTATGGCTTTTTTTTTTAGATTTTAATAATTAATATATTTTTGGTTATTAAGAATTCTCTTTTGGAATTTTATGTTTTGCATTACATAAATCTTTTCTGTCTAACAATTATGCGCCACTTTTAGCCGTTTAGCGCGCCACACAATACGTATCAAACACCGGAAATGTCACGGATCGGCATAGGGACTTTTGACTTTATATACTATTATCGCTAATAACTTCGCTATTAATAACTATGCCATTTTCAAGATTATTTCACTCCTTCCTAAATAAATCGAGAAATAACCCGAATTTTTTTTTTCTTTTTTTGTGTTATCATTTTCTTAATATATTGCTTCAAAAAAAAATCTAAATTTCTCATTAGGACTTGAAATCTGGACTTTGAATAGCCAAGAAAAACTCATTATTGGAAGATAAACACTCATATTATATCAAGCATTATGGGAGTTGTTATTTTATATATTTATTATAATAAAAAACTCATCAATAATTTAGAAAATTATTTGGTTAATTAAGAATGCATGCATTCCAAAGTTTTCTCAATGAAAATTAAAATATATAAAATGATCGTCACTTTAATTTTGGCAGTATTTTTTTAAGGAATAGCTCTAATGTGACATTTAGAATAACAAATATTTAGAATTTTGTCATGTTTTTAAAGAGGAGGGTGCATTGCTTACGAAAATGCAGAAAATTTCCAGTTCAATTAAAAATCACCTAAAATTTTGTTTCAAGAAAGTTAGCAGCTTTATAAATAAATTTAATTGTAATGGAAGCCATTTTGGGCAACAAAACAAAAATAATGTCAGTATTTGAAATTACTTTTTTTTTGTTGCTTTTTAAATGATCATTCCACTGTTCAATTTGGTATAACAAGTAATGATCTAATCGGATAGTAATAGCGTTATAACCAAATTAAGAAGCAGTATTCTCACCACCATTACTTTCGCCGGGGACTGTACCACTACTCTCCATATTGAATGTTTGTCATTGAAAATGCTTTCCTTGCTTCATTTCATCCTGACACATTATATACTACTGGAAAACCAGTTTAGGATGTATTGGGATATTCTTGAAATTCAATATAATACCGAACTTCAGATGCCGTTAACCTTTGGCCAATTTGAATAGGCCCTATTATTTCTATCGGATATTCGATAAATCATGTCAGGTGATCCAGATAGCCACCCTCCAAAAAATGCACCCCACTCAGGTGATCATCAAAAGTTATAACCTTACTATTTATGTCACAAGTGCATAGGTTATAACCTGAAAAAATGGTAGCTGGTTCTAATTTGTCGGTTACATGTGATTTCGGATTATGATTTTTGGTAATCTCATGTCGATCATCCATTTCATGCACGATACGTGGCATAATTTTTTCGTTTTGATCAATTTTAAATCAGTTTTCTTTTCTCTTTATTTTAAAGAACTGTTTTTTATTTGATTATGTCAAGCCAACAAAACAAAAGTCTGTAAAGGGTTCATGTTTGAAGAGTTTCTGAATATAAAAAAGGTAATTTTTAATTTTTTATTGATGTAAATATTAATTAAGAATCATTAGAAGAATCACGTAACAAGCCAAAACAGCATTTATGGTTAAAAAATGTTCGTTCTAGTTTTAACTCATTTTAAAAAATGAACAATGATATTATAGCACTTGAAAATCGTAGAACTATACCAAGAACTTGGAAAGATTTTAATAATACAAGGTATTGGGAATAGTGATATTAAACTTTCAGAAACATGTTTAAATAAAATAAACAATAAAATTCTGACAATTGAGGTGTGTATAAATATGAGTTTATTTGAAAATTATTACAATGGTCGAAATACTCATGAAAGTACCAAAAACATTATCCGAAATCACATGTAACCGGAAAAATTACAGTGTGTAACAAAAAAAATCGGAATTAAAAAATGCCATGATGATCGCACCAAATTATTTGTAAAATAGCTTATTCGAAAGCTGAAAACCTGTAGATTTTATCAATGGTAAATTAAAATGGTATTTAATGTAGTAATTTTTTTTATAATAAGCTTACAATAATAATTTTTTTAGATAAAAACTTTTTATAACTAATTTAAATTAATATGTATTTCTTTGCATAAATTGCAGTAGATAATCAAAAATTTTTTTTTTTAACTTATACTTTTCTATTGGTCTTGACAATATTTGAGAAATTTTCAATGACTTTGTATCCATTCTAAATTCACAAATTTCACATTATATTTTTTCTTCAAAAATCAACACTTGTAGTTAATTTTCTCAAGAAGTAAAAAAGTATTATGATCATGAAAGATGTCAAAATGTAGTCCTGATATTCAAGTTTATTTTGCATTTTAAATGATAAAAATTAGACTTATTTTGAGCGAACTACACGCATTTTTGTAATTTGAATAATTTTTTAGCTTTTTTACTATATACCGAAATTGGGGAATTTTGAAGAGTAAATTTCTCATCATTCTACTATAATGTTTCTATACTGCTGATTTTTTGGTATCAACTTTTTTACATTATTCTTAACAATATTTGAATATTTTTAATTTAAATTCAATATACAAATGCTTTGTAATCTTAATTTATTTTTTTGTTATATTTTTCTGTTCAAAGTAAATATTTACAGCGAAATTTTTCAAAAAATAATAAAGCAACTATAACTTTAAATGATATCATAATATAGATCTTGGTCATGGGTTTATTAATTTGGTTTATTATCCAATTTACGCAAAGAAAATTAGATTTATTTTGAGCGCATTTTTATTACATGAATGATATTCCGGTTTTTTTGTTACACACTGTAGATCCGGCTACCATTCTTTGCTAGGTGTATCATGTGACTTTTTATTTCATAGTGGTTTTTAATAATTGTTGGAATGATCACTTTGGCCGATCTTTCCAAATTTCATTATAAAAAAGACGCTTTCCATATGTAATGCAAGTATATAAAAGAAGCTTTTAAAAAAAAAAAAAAAAGGAGCTAAGGAGTATCAATGCTGCTTCCGATAAAAAAATTTTTTTTTATAACTATAATCTAATTTATAATTTTACTAAATGATCGTAGCGAAAGTAACAGCAGTGACCGTCGCTCATAAATGAGAACGGCCTTATAAAAAAAAATACAACTCATTAATATATAATAACATAAAATTCTAATATTTTATTTGGTATATTTATTGCATACAGTCAAACCTTTATATAACGATATGTCGGGACATATATGAAATTTTTAGAAAATATCGTTATATCAAAGTTATACCGATATTTATATGTCCTCACATATAGTGGGAAAATAAAATTTTATCGGTATAACAAGTTTTTAATAGTATATCGGTATATCGAATATCGGTATATCGAGGTTAGACTGTAATCCTTTTGATTAATATTCAATACAAGAAGAAAAGGAAAGGCATTTATCAAATAAATATAAAAGTTTCTTTTGCTTCTTTTCATATGAATTTTAAACTCTCATAGAAAATACAGTATACAAATAGAAAATTTCAATAAAAATACCTAAAAAAAAAAAAAAAGATATATATGTGGAATCGTCTACATCGGCCGAAAAATTAAGTGGGATCATTTTTCATCGTCCATTAAATTATTTTCGATTGAATTAAATTATTCAAAAATAAAAACTAAGATTCTATTTAAATTAATAAATTTATTGAAACATTCTATTATCGACATAATTAATTAATAATGATAAGTATTATTATTAACCATTAAACTTCCTGAAAGAGAATTATTTGTTGCATCACCGAAATTCTCCGTATCCGAGTTTTAGTACAGAAAATGTGATGGGCAAAAATTTTTTGTAAATTTGCACAAATATAAATAAACTGACTCGTAAAAACTTTCAAGAGTAAAAAATTCAAAAAAAACAATTTTTTTTTGAAATTCTTTCATAATTCTTAGGACAACTTTAAATTTTAAAGTTAAAATTATTCATTTAATAACTAAAACTTATTATTTCCATGATTGCCGCAGCAAATAGTTTCCGCAGCGAAAAAAATATAAAAATCTTTAGAACTAAAAAAACGACACTAAGATAAAATCTGAGGTAAAATTTAAAAAATTTAGAAACAATTTAACCTGACTCAACTCACTCATTTTTTATCGTTATACAGTAAATATATAAATAACTAACGGAAGCTTTTTCATATTCAAAATTTGTAGAAACCTAAGTACGATGTCCGATATAGGCTCAGTTCAAATGATAACACTTCAACCCATTCAGTACCAATTAGTTGAGCTTAGCTTATTTTACCAACCACAAAAAGATAATAATATTTATCATATAACTTGTAAGAAAATCACGCAAGATCATCTTCAAGGTACAGGAAACTCGGACGATAGTTATGATTACAAGTTCTTTATAGAAAGCTTAGATGATTTTACGACGACATTTCATGTTACATGTACTAAATTATTACCAAATTCTTTAATTTTAAATATATTGAACAAGAAATTTTATGGATTTGATTTTGACGTAACTGAATTGGGACGTAGACATTTACTAACTTTGCATCAAAAGTTAAATTTCGAACGTAACTTAAGGCAAAATTCTTCCCTCGTACTTTTCAACATCCAATCCTTAATAGTGAAGCGATATTTATTCCAATGAAAATTTATATTCTTCCAATACTATAGCGGCGCAAGAATAACAATTTTACAGTATTTAAATTATTTTATTAACTTTTTTTATTTAGTTCTCTTACAAATGAAATTTTATATGTTTATATAATTTTATCTAAATAAAATATTTTGTAACCATGTATTCCTTGTGTGCTCTTGCTTGCATTAATTCAATATAATGAACTGTATCCAATTTTTGAGGTGCAAAATCAATAACAAGAAGGCCTGCGGATAAGAAGTGAAACAATTCCATGTCGTTTCCTTTAGTTACAAGTTCTTGATCATTTAATATACTATATCTTCAGTAATTAGCTTATTACAAATCGATAAAGGTAGATTACTGGCTCATGGAGATCGTAATTTCTTTTTAAAAAGCTCGAATTCTATCGAAATCAACCTGATTCACGTTATGTTCTATTTTAAGTTTAATGAGTTTTTCGTCAAAATTTCCGAAGTGCATTAATAGACGTTATACGAAATAAGAGATAATATTACTTTTCTTGAAAGTATTGTGAAAGTAATGCTTGAATCACTATGAAAGTCTTACTGCATGAAAAAGTGCGTGCGTGAGAATCTTTTGATATAGTATACCATTTGATTGGATAAAATAAGTGGTAAAGGAGTATTGTACAAAAAAATTCGATGTTCTTGCATAATTGTTATCTGTTATACACCTATTTTTTGGTATACTATAGCTTCTAGTTTAAGGCGCAGTAAGATCGGGAACGAACATAAAAAAAATCTTATGGTTTTTATTAAACTATAATTTGACATTACTTTGTATTTGATAAATATAATTTTTTGATATAATATTTTGTCGTGAGATCTTGTTCATAATCGGTTTAATCATAGCAAGTAACTATATTGTATAGTTAAATAAATATAAATTAATTATATTGTAAAAATACAAAAATAAAAAAACAAATTTCATTAGATTAATTAAGCAAAAAACTTTAAAATATATTTTATTGATTCCTGAATACTTTTATAAATATTAAACTTGTAAAATTTTTTTTTTTTTTATTTTTATACTCACCTACACATAAAAATTACCATTTAAGAGAAATGAAAAAATGATTGATAATCTCAATTACAGAAATTTAATGCCTATTTAGCAATATTTGAGTGATCACTGTCAAATGTGTCAGATGACTGTTTAGTGTTACAATTTGTTACAATTTTTTAGAATTCGGAGTATGCTTCCGTAAAAATTTTTTTCCAGAGATTTATTATAATCTTTTGCTAAATGGTCATTATATTGAAAAATCGAAAACTATTTTTTTTTTGATTTTATTTGGACATTTATAATTAATAATCGAGTAATCCTTCACCGATGCTTACTACAAAAATATATATATATATATATATATTAATACTAATATATATAACTTTTGCATCTGTTGATATGAATTTTTTATGTACAGTATATTTTTAGTTTAATGACAAAAAATAAATAAATAAATAAATAAATATTGGAAAATAACTTGCAAAAAATTTAAGGAAATTTTATAGTGAAGCTCTACCGCTGAAAATAAATGATCATTTTTCGTCGCCCAATAGAATTTTTCGATTAAATTTATCCCAAGATTCTACTTAAATTCATAAAATCTATCATTATACGACGATTAATCAGAAAGTATTAAATAACCTAATAATTTTTATAAATGTAATAGCAGGTTCATATTTATATCACGAGTTTCGCTGAGTAAAATTTTCCCGAGTTAATGTTGAAAATGTGATGATGTGATGATGTGATAAGCGCAATTTATCACAATTTTTATTGATATAAATAATGAGAATTTCAGGAAACTTTTTTTTAAAATTTTTTTTTAAAAAAAAAAAATTCCTAAATTTCTTTTAAAAGAAAAACTTTTTTCCATATTGCACAATAACTTTCTTTGAATAATAAAGGCGTGTGCATATCTTTCCAAGTCCGTAGATGCCACAGTTAAAAAAAATATTAATAAAAATTTTAGAACACTGTACCCCAAAAAAACGTGACGTCATCCCTACATAAAAGGTATGCAACCACTTAAATATGTACACTTCTTTACCACATATTTTAACTAACCGATAATTGTATACAATGTCTGAAGATTCGTACACGCCTAGTGATTTCAATATCAAACCAAAAAAAAGAACGAAAAAACGGTAAGAGACTTAAAAGCCAAGGACCCGTCCCTTGTGTAAAGCTCCCTTAAGGTTAAAAAATTATAAAACAATCTATTACCACTTTCAATTTTCAACATAAAAAAATTTTTTTCCTATCTTTCCACATTATTTTTTTGGGTTAAGAAGAAATGGCAAAATTTTATTGAAAAATTATACTGCGCGAAATACCAAAATTTTGCTGCGCCACCGATCTGGCACACATTTCGGATGTTGATAAATTACAAAATTAATTTTATGTTCATTATACAAATTATTTCACTCACCCCATTCAATAACTAACAGATATAGCTTCGTCTTATTCAAATTTGTAGACGATGTCTTTTTATTCAGCAAACCTAGTTTCAGCTCAAACGACAACACTTCAACCCATTCAGGACCGATTAGTCGAGCTTAGTTTATTTTACCAACCACAAAATGATAATAATATTTATCATATAACTTGTAGGAAATTTTTACAAGATCAACTTCAAGGTACAGGAAATTCTATCTTCTTGGATGATAATTATGATTACGAGTTCTTTTTAGAAAGTTTGGATGGCTCCACGACGATGTTTCATGTTACGTGTAAATTATTACCAAATACTTTAATTTTAAATATGTTGAATAGGGAATTTTATGGATTTGATTTTGATGTAGCTGAATTGAGACGTAGAAATTCATTAACTTTGCATCAAAAGTTAAACCTCGAACGTAACTTGAAACAAACTCTTCCTTTGTACTTTTCAACATCCAATCCCTGATAGTGGATCGATACTGATACCAATACTATAGTAGCGCAAGCATATTAATGCAATAATGGCAATTTCATAGAATTTAAATTATTTACCGTATATTTGCGGGCCATAGTACCCCCCCATGTATAGTATCCCCTTTTTTACGTGAAAAAGTTACCTTTTCTATCGATTTTATCATTTAGAGAATCAAATCTTGCCCAGAAATTATATTCTGATTATTATACAATCTTTCGAAATAAGTACAAGGTCAACCCCAAAATTTGTATCATACCCGGGGTACTATGGCCCGCAATATACGGTAGTATGTTTTACTTAATTACATTTAAATAAAGAATTATTTTTATAATTTATGAATTTGTTTATTTTCAATGACACATAATTATAATTATTAAATATAATTATCCATTTATCTTTGTTTTTGTTTTATACTAATATTTTATTATAAGATAGTTTGTTCAATCTTTTTTTTTATGTTCAGTTTTACCATAATGGTGTAGTTAGCCGAAAAACGGAGCCAAATTCCTGATTGCGGACCCGGTTTACAGCAAAATTCGAAATATAGTGGACACTTGAAAATTTTGATTGTCGGGATTGTCGGATCGTCGGGTATGGGTTACTAGGTAGTAGATAGCACGTGACATATATATATGATGGCGTAGTTAAAGTATAATAATAAAGTATAATTGTATATAATAATGTAATTATGTTATATTAAAATTAATTAAAGTATACCCTTGTTATTTTCTTTTGATTTTTTGTATGTGCCAAAATCAATGCTAAATAAACATTTTCGTTTATTAATAGTTGAAAGGATTTTGAAAGGCTTAACATATAGAAGTATACATTTTTGACAAATACTTACATCATTTTAAGTTGGTAAAAGTTCAATTTCCTTCGAAATATTAGCAAAACCCCAGTCAACAAATTCCGAGTCCAACACAACTTTATGGTTTGTGGCACCTTTTCTACTGCATAATTACGTTCAGCTTTTTTCCTCTTCTCTTGCTTGGCAAGTGCATTTTTGACCATATGTATTTTGACAATCTAAACAGATAAGACAAATTGGACAGGCATTCAAACGAAATTCCAAAGAAAATGTCATTATTAAAATGTTCAATAAAAATCAAATAAAGTAATATTGTTTAAAAAGTTTAATTATTAATTTATGTTATATTGATATGTTTACGTATTATATAGTATATACAATTATACTTTATTATACTACGCCATCATATATAGTATATCACGTGTTATCTATCTTTTGACTAGCCAGTACCGGATCACGTTGCTAATTATTAATTGTGGGCGCAGTAATACATTTAGGACTTTCGCAGCGTAACCTGAAAAAAATGTCACGAAAAATCACGTGCCTTCTTTTGTCACAACCGTCACACCCCACTGCGTTTCCATTTTCTATAAGTATCTAGTTTTTTTCGAGTAGGTAAAAACATATTCGTCACACATTATTCGTCACAAGTGCGCCACACTTAATTTCAGTCAAGTTGCGTAATGCCGGCCATTTCGTGACATTTTTTTCAGGTTACGCTAGGGAAGTCTACATTTAGTTTAGGTGTATATAAAAAATTCCGCAATAGTAAATTTATTAATCACACGTGTCAGTCGTGTCACGTCTCTCTGTGAGTCTGTGTTTCCATTTTCTATAAGTATCTGAAGGACAGTTTTTTTCAGTTAGTCAAAATCCTATTTGTCGTCACTGTTTATTCACGTGTTACTGCATAGTGCCGGCCCTGTGCGGAATTTTTTGAGCAGATTTTCGGGTGTCATAGGGGCAGTTTTACTCCCGGATCGTGAGTAGGGATGCTAATCGTTACATTACGTTACGTTACGTTACGTAACTTACACTGTAAGTTACATGGACTGAATGTAACATTACATATGTATTGATGTGTTTACCAGAATTAAGATAATTCAGCCAGTATTACCTTAATCTTGGCCAAGTTTATAATTTATAACGAACATTAACAAATAAAAAAGTAGCTTATTATCATGTTTTACAGTTTCGGATTCAACTTTTTTTATGATCTTATCATACAAGTTTTAACATATTCCTGCAATCTTGTCGCATTTTTGTTCATTCAGAATTACAGTATTTATATTTATATCATTTTTTTATTGGGATTTATTGTTTCTTCAGATTTTGATTAAAAAAAAAATTTTATGTTACAATAACATAATGTAACGTAACTTATAGAAAATTACCGTAACGTAACAATAAATTTTATAAATTGCAGTAATTTTACATCCCTAATCGTGAGCAATAAACTGAGCCATATGTAATGTTTAGTGTTACATAGTTATTTGGGTATTAGTTTATTTTATTTTATATTCAGGTGATCAGAAATCACATGAAAGGAAAGTACAAATAAGGGAACAGGATTGAAGATCAATTTAGAAGTGGGATTTAATTGATATAGGAAATTAAGAAAAAGGTCAAAGGCTAAAAATCAAGGAATTGATTTTTGTCGCGAAAGTAGAGTCAGAAACAGGATTTTTGAATATTTTTATGAAATCATTTCTTATAAATAAAAGGAATTATTTGAGATTTATGATTATAACTTAGGAATTGACATATTAGGAAATATTATTAAACCTAGTTTGTATAAATAAATTTGTGCAATTTTATAATCATTTTTGTTAAGACTGCACTGGCAACGTAGTTTACTACGGGCGTAGGTCTTACGTAGAGATGTAAAATTACTGTAATTTATAAAATTTATTGTTACGTTACGGTAATTTTCTATAAGTTACGTTACATTATGTTATTGTAACATAAAATTTTTTTTTTAATCAAAATCTGAAGAAACAATAAATTCCAATAAAAAAATGATATAAATATAAATATTGTAATTCTGAATGAACAAAAATGCGACAAGATTGCAGGAATATGTTAAAACTTGTATGATAAGATCATAAAAAAAGTTGAATCCGAAACTGTAAAACATAATAATAAGCTACTTTTTTATTTGTTAATGTTCGTTATAAATTATAAACTTGGCCAAGATTAAGGTAATACTGGATTATCTTAATTCTGGTAAACACATCAATACATATCAATGTAATGTTACATTCAGTCCATGTAACTTACAGTATAAGTTACGTAACGTAACGTAACATCTGTCTCTTATACACATCTAGATGTGTATAAGAGACAGGTTACATTCAGTCCATGTAACTTACAGTATAAGTTACGTAACGTAACGTAACATAATGTAACGATTAGCATCCCTAGTCTTACATCGTATCTGATTATTTTTGACAGATTAACCCGATTTTTAATTTTGGCTGGCACTATGTTTAGCTTGGGCCAGTACTATAAGTGTGGGCAGAAGAGTTAAATTTAATTCCACCCAAATTGTAATTTCAGCCAGAATTAATTTCGGATTGATGTGCGTCTGACCGAAACTAAATTTAGACTTAAGAACCCAAATTTGATCTATTATTTGTAGATTTAATTACTTAGTTAACATCGTTAACATCTAAACATATAACTTGAAACCGATATTAATAAATTTTCAAAACATAAGTTTTCCAGGTTAATCAATTCTATCAACTAGAATTTCCTTAACTTTATTTGGTGCTGATATTAGATAATCCACAAAATTACCGGTATCACACGAAGATTTACAAAAAAAAAAATCCTTTTTTTATCCTGAAGATTGAACCTTTGCTTTTGCTTTATTTATTTATTTATTTTTTTAACGACAAAAAAAAGCAAAGTTCAAAATTTGAGTTTGAAACGAATTGACATTTTAAAATTATTAAAGAATTATCAAATGATTAAATTAGTATTTGATAAATCTTCTAAAAAACTTTCTGTTAATAAACAATAAATGTAATCACATGACGATCTTATTTTCCGATGACCAAAAGGCAATTGAGATTAATCTCATTCAAGGAAAATGTCCTCATGTGAGAGCAATTCATTTTGGCTTTCCTTTAATATAGTTTTTACGGGCTGGTTTGCAATTGCTCCCTTTTACCTTATATTATGGAAGATATAAAATTAGTAACCCCTGAAGAAACTGAAGATGGAAACATTGTAAATGTAGCCTCCGCTGTATTTTTTCGTTTTCTTGTTAGTCCTCTATGTGGCCGTTTTGGCCCAAAACGTGTTATGGCTCTATTGCTTATATTAGGTCCCTATAAAAAAATTGGATACATTTTTTATAAAGTATTTATACGATTTTTTTCCTTAGAAATAATGTATCATAATAGGATACGGAAAAATGCACAATTCCGTATCACTATAAATATGGTTTGGATACGGAATTTGCATGGGATTCATATGGAATTTACATGATTTGATCACTGATTTTATCATGAAATTTATACGATTTGGTCACTGAATTTACTATTTGTATTACAGTTTACTATAATTGTATTTAAATTAAATAAAAAATAAAAAATAAACAAAATACAAATATATTATGAAAATTCCCTCCTTATTAAAACCACCTATTGCAACCAAAATTATCTATAAGTTCAGGTTCATTTGGAGTCAAACAACCTAAAAAAACAAAAAAAAAAAGAAACATAAGAACGTCTAACTTAATTGGAAACAAAACCCCCCCTCATATAGCTGTCTCTTATACACATCTAGATGTGTATAAGAGACAGCTCATATAGTATCTGCAATTATCCAAATCACCAAAGGTTAGCATTCCTACAAAAAAAGAAAGAGAACTCCAGAATGTCTGACCTACATAAAAGAAAAGAATTATGAAGTGTCTGATGAAAAAGAAACTAAAACAACAAAATAAATCCAAAACTGACCTACAAAAAAAGAAGACTCTGAAGCAACAAAACTGTAATAACTTATAAAAGAAAAGAATCTGAACCAAACTTACAAAAAAAAA